TTCATTCATTCATGTGTTACATAATCATAATTTATTTAAATTTTTTTAAATAGTTTTTTTTCGTATTTTGTGCCATTTTTAAGAATGATTTCATTTGTTTAAAAAACAGGCTTCATGTTATTTAATATCATTTTGTATTACGTTAATGACATTTAAAAAAAAAAAAATAAGTAGGCTTTATTTTGTGTTTTTTATATTATCGTAGTAAGAATTATTTTATTTATTTTAGAAAAAATGCTTTATTTTATTTTATTTATGTATTAGTATGTTTTGCTGTGTCAAGTGGGCTTGTCAGGAATCTCAAGAATCAAAGATTTTTGAAATCATAAAAAAATCCACGCGTATCAGTCATGGAGGTTTTATTTCTGCGCTTTTCTCAGAGATGTTTGTGAAGGTATGGAGCACCTGGAGTCAAAGAAACTCCTGCACCGAGATCTCGCCGGACGCAACATCCTCGTGTCTGAAGACACCGTCGCCAAAGTCAGCGATTTTGGTCTGGCCAAGGTCAGTTCAACGGCAACCGACAACTCAAAGTTACCCGTCAAGTGGACGGCGCCCGAAGCCTTGAAGAACACGGTGAGAGACACATCACGAGATCGTTGATGATCATCACTAGTTCAAACTCAACCTGACGTCTCTGTTCCTGCAGAAGTTCTCCGCTCAGTCAGACGTTTGGAGCTACGGAGTCCTGCTGTGGGAGATCTTCTCATACGGCAGACAGCCGTATCCCAAAATAGTGCGTTTCTCACAGTAAATGTATGGTTTGCTCTCATCTTCCTGAAGGTGTGATGTTGTCTGCTGGTGTTTGTTGCAGCCGGTGAGCGAGGTGCGGGAGCGCGTGGATCAGGGTTACCGCATGGAGCCGCCGGACGAATGTCCTCCTGACGTCTACAGCATCATGACGTCCTGCTGGGAGACGGAGCCCAAGAGGAGACCGTCCTTCCACAAGCTCCGAGAGCGGCTGGAGAAAGAACCTCACCTCACATGTGTATAAAGTAGATTTAATTTATTATTCATCGCACTGTATGTGTTTTTGTTGTGGTTTTATGTTTTTGAGTGAATCTTGAAAACACGCCTCAAGTCAAATTAAACTTTCGCATGAAAGTAAAGCCTGTTTTTAGAATTTCATTTTTTTTTTGCATTGCATTTTTATATTGTATCACTTTAAATTTTTTTATTTTCAAAAAATGCTCAAAACTGGTTCTCATCTACTGTAATTTTTATTTTATTTTATTGTTTTTATATTATTTTTATTAAAATATTATAATGCAAATGATTTTTTTTAATCGGTATAAACAGTAAAGCATATAATAACATGACCTTTACAAATATTTTATTTAAAAAATCTATTTTTTGCATTAATTATAATATGAATTTGGTAGAAAATGTGCTTAATTGGCATGAAAATAATGTCATGTTGGTCTCAAAAAAAAAAAAAATTCCCAGAAATTTTTAGTTTTGAAAGAAATAAAACAATAATAATAATAATACAAAAATACAGCAGTCAGTACAAATTAAAACAATATGATACCATGATGAAATACCTATTACTTAATATATTTAATACATATATGCTTTTTTGTGCTTAATTGTCATTGATATAATGTCATACCATTGACTACAATTACAATTTGCATAAATAAAATCAAAATTAAATATTTTTTCTCTCCTTAATTCTCGTTACTGAAATGCAAATATTATGTAATAGTACAGTATTTGGAATTAAAACAAGACACAATGTGTCCAGACACATGGTTATTATTATTATTACTATTATTATGTTTTTAACAAAAAAAATTAGGCTTTAGTTTCTTTTTTCCCTGCCTTTTCTTTTGATTTTGGGGTGGAAATATGACCCATATTCCTGACAGGTTTCTCCCAAATGATGAAATTCATTATTGCACATGCTTTATTGTTATTATTATTATTATGTGCTTCAGTCCTCAGTGAGGTTCTGTAAAAAAAGAGACTTTTCATGCAATTCAGAAACGTATTTATTGTAACAACAGTAATAAACCCATCGGGAAATGGATTTTCTACAGGAAGTCTTCTGTTCGAATCACTCGTTCTTAAGAAAGAGAAGAATAAAAGAGTGTTTCACTGATGAAACATCATGTTTATCTGGGATTAGCTCTTGGATCATCTGTATGTAATTGTCCAGCGACTATAAATAGAGACTAGTGATATACTTGTAACTTCCTGACAGACTGGAAGAAACCACCTATAGCAACCACCCAGAACACCTTAGCAAGACGCTAAAAAAATCATTTCCCAAAGGTTCATGGGATTTATGTTCATTGCGTTGATTTGCTCAATCCAGATTATGGCCTTTTTTTCGTCGGTTGTGTTTATCCGTCACCCGTGAGACCGCAGCAGATTGAATTTCCCATCTTTATTCTGCTTTATAAATCCTCGAATAGGATGATGTGCAATTCCTCAAGATGATTTTAAAGCTCTCTGACCTCTGACTTTAAAGCTCATTTATGTGTGGGAAATCTCAAATCTATGCTCATAATTTCAGATTCGGCTCAATCCTAGTCACGTTTCAATGCTAGGTAAGGTAAAACTAATCTGTGGTGGAAATGTTGGGAAATGATGGTGAGATTTGTGCTGTGGATTTTACTCCCGTAGAAACCATATTACATGTAGCATGAATTACAATTCTGATCCAATATAAGATATAAGAATATCAGCCCAAAAATACTTACCAGCAGTGATGTCTTGCGTATGGAAGCACATTTCTGCCATAAGAATGAGATAAAGTCGAAATTGACACAAATAGAAATTATTGACACAAGTCAACTTATTTCATAATACTAACTTTTTTTAATCAATTTTTTCTCATAATTCCCACTTTTTAATCCTCTGACCTCTGACTTTAAAGCTCATTTATGTGTGGGAAATCTCAAATCTATGCTCATAATTTCAGATTCGGCTCAATCCTAGTCACGTTTCAATGCTAGGTAAGGTAAAACTAATCTGTGGTGGAAATGTTGGGAAATGATGGTGAGATTTGTGCTGTGGATTTTACTCCCGTAGAAACCATATTACATGTAGCATGAATTACAATTCTGATCCAATATAAGATATAAGAATATCAGCCCAAAAATACTTACCAGCAGTGATGTCTTGCGTATGGAAGCACATTTCTGCCATAAGAATGAGATAAAGTCGAAATTGACATAAATAGAAATTATTGACACAAGTCAACTTATTTCATAATACTAACTTTTTTTTATCCATTTTTTCTCATAATTCCCACTTTTTAATCAGAATTTCAACTTCACAATTGACTTTTAGTCATCATTTTGAAGTTTTTTTATTTGTTTTTTTTTTCATAATTCCGACTGTTTCAAAATTCCAACATCTCATAATTGAGTTAGTGTTCTATAACTGACATTTAATCAGAATTTCAACATGTCATAATTATGACTATTTTTTGGTCATAATTTAAACCTGTTATAATCATGATTGACATTATTTTGACTTTTTATCTCAAAATTGTTTTTGTCACAATTTTAGACTTTTTATCTCATAATTAACTTTGTATTTCAAAATTATGACACTTTATCTCAATTTAAACTTTTTATATAAGTATACATATATTTTACATAAAATACACTTTTTGTTGATTTTGACTTATCGCAATGTTTACTATCTCATAATTGACGTAGTATTTCATAATTATGACTATCTCATAGTTTCCACTTTTTACGTCATAATTAATACTTTTTGTCATAATTTTGACTTTTTTAATCTCATAATTAACCTAGTATTTTTTTTTAAATGATGACAGTGTTCACATAGTGTTTAATTTTTTTTACTTCATAACTGACTTTTTTGTCATGATTTAGTTTTTTTCATTTATAATTGACCTAGTATGTCATAATTATAATTTTTATGCTATAAATTTTTGTCATAATTATGACTGTTTTGTCAGTTTAGACTTGTCATAATTATAACTCTCATAATCTTGACTTCTTATCTCTTAATTGTTTTTGTCAAAAGTCGATTTCAACTTTTCGTAATTGTGACTTTTTATCTCATAATCGACTTAGTATTTCATTATTATAAATGTTTATCTCCATTTGTAATTTTTACATCATAATGACTTTAAATTTGTCAATTTTGATTTTAATAGTTATGAAAATTTGTATTTTTATGGATGTCAAATTCTGATTTATTATAAGTCAAGCATGACTGTTACTGTTAATTTTTGAGGTTTTGAGAGTAAAAGTGAGACCACATCCAGTACAGAGGGATGTTTTTAGAAACCAAACATTAATTGATCTAATTTAATCCTATTAAAACAACCAACATCAGCTACTCTTTCCCAGTGTCTCCCTCTACTGGTCGTCTCTGGTATTACATAATGTGTGTGTATGAGTGTGTATAATGTATTTGAAAATGCTTCTCACATTAAGCTATCATATGGCTTCAGAAGACTTGGAATATAGTGAGCCATGTGAACCACTGTTATTATACTTTTATGCTATTTATAGTGCTTGATAGTCATCACTATGAACTATTGTAGCATGGGAAAGAGCTGTAAGTGTCTGTTTAAGTGTTTGTTTTTATGGGTATACGTGCCTCATGCTTTAATCTATCTCTCCTAGTCATGGAAAGATTTACTCAGTGATGTCAGAGTGGGAGGAGCCTGCGGACCCTTTTAGAATAAGGGGCGGAGAAGACCATTTGACTGACAGGTGAAGCATCTAATCGGCCGATTAAAGGCCGAAGCACGTCAGCGTCTCCAGAGGAATATCAGCTTTAACAACGTTAAGAGTATCAGATTAAGTGTTAAGGAGGAAAGTTTAACCTTGTTCTTTCTGGGCTGTGAAGCGCGTAAACTGTCTTTTGATCCTGCAGGGGCAAATGGGGCCAAAAACACAAATTAAAGGCATAACACAGTCACCGACGCAGCAGAAACCTCTGAAAGCTGTTAAAATTACATTACTAATTAGTAGTGTGTTACTAACAAAAACAAGATTTTTTATTTATTTTTTGACAGCATGTGATGTTTACCCATGCAAAAGTTGCCAGAGGGGTGCCATGCAGTCACATTGTGCAGATTTGAGAAATCATTCATGTCTGGAGCACAGCATAGTTTAGTACTTACTGTAAGGTGTTTGGTACTTCAAACTATGATCACTAGTAATATTATTGCTTGACTTATCAAGAGCCACACATTACAAAACCACCTAAACGATGATTAGTTTAGCAGTTTACATGTGTGACGCATCTTACTACACATTATGCAATTGACCGCTAGTAATTGCGTTGGTTTTAATTAGCAAAAGGTTAAAGAGTTAATTTAATTTGATTAAATTAAACTGGTTATCCTTTTTAAGTTTCTTCCCAACAGGGGTCCCGTGATCAACCTACACATTTGCACGTTTGTGAAATTTCTGGCTGGATGTGAGAATCTGAGAAAAAACGATGCCGAGCTCCAGTGTGAGCCTCCATATGGTTGTTTGCTTAATCGCTGTACAGGTAAACTGCACACAGTCGCGCGTTCACTGGGTCGACAGAGGGGTCTTACACGCTAATCTACAGATTACTAAAAGATGTCAGGAGAACGGGGAGGACAACACTGTGGGATAAACGCATGTCAGTCACTCTGAACAGGATTGGTCCATTTTTGGATACCTACCCGACATGCCATGCAAAAGTTCAGTTAAGGCCAAATGTTGTTTTAAAGGTGCAGGTTTTTCCTCATATTTTACTATTAAATCCTCACCCTCAACAAAGTTACCAAACAGTTTCTGGACCACATTGACTTCCATAGTTTTTTTTCGTACTATGAAAGTCACTGGGGACCAACAACTATTTGCTCACTCACATTCTTCAAAAGACCTTCTTTTGTGTTAAACAGAAGGAAGAAACTCATACAGGTTTGGAAAAACTTGAGGGTGAGTAGATGTTGACGAGTTTTAGATTTTGGGCAAACTAGCCCGTTAAAAGCTGTTTTATTTTACATTGAGTGGGTCTCCTAATGGGGGCAGGCATGAGCTCTTTATCTCAGTAGCTTCCATTTTACTAGTAAAAATCACTAATAATACCAAGATTTGCTATTTACACTATAACATCAGTAACCAAAACTGCCACTAGGTGTCGGGGTAAGCTATATCGCTAACTGTTCATTCGTATTCGCATTGGT